GATAAATTTTGTGTCTGCTGTCTAAACAGTCAATTCAAAGCCTATCATTACATATAACACACGATTAAGACTAGCTTCTATAAATCTTGATGAAAGTCTTTGGATTTTCTATTTAAAGATTTACTATGTCTGGATAACAAATGCTCTGTCTGTTTTATGACTTGTGATATTCAGTACATTACACGAATTGATTAAGTTTGAAATCTGATTCTAAAATTTACAATCTGCTGACTTCAACCAAGATGATAATTACATAAGAATAGCTGAACAAAATCAACAAATCAGCATTAACTAGTCATTAAATATCCTATCACAATTTACTATACAGAATATAAATATATATGCATAGAACTCCTGAACAGAATTTCACTCTAAGCAAACAATCTGCCATTTTCAATGCTATCAGTGTTAAACAATTTTATGGTACTACTCAAAAGAGTTACAAAGTTTCACAAATTACAGTGACTTCAAATAGCATACTACTCTTACATACTTTATACAACTTGCATTGTCATCTTACAAAATATGTAAGCTTACTCAAAACTGTTATTTCAAAATCACCTAACGAATTACCAAAGCACTAAGTCAGTGCCACTAAAGTTAGATCTAATATTTTGCAAGAACTTGGTCAATTACATTTTGTCCTTTTAAACTCCAAACATGAAAGAAAGATCTCTTCAGATCATTAGCTCTATTACACTAATCAACAATAGGAGTCAATATCTCATCAAAACGTCTTTCAGAACACCTTCACTCTTTAAACAATGATTCGTTTACACTGCCAGAAGCAAGATATTAGTCTAGTCACAATACTATTATTGTTAAAGACCTTAATTAATATGAAAACTTATGATAGGATTTGAATGAAAGACTAGGAACCTTCCGGAGTTTAGAATTATTTCAGCCTTTGGCACAATTTTACCAGGAGTAATGAGCTGACATGTTTAGATAACTCTACCCACTTATAGAAAGACAGTTCTCTAAGGTAACATGCCAGGCTGTACTGTTAAACTTGCTGAGAAAGCGAATGTTTATTGTTAGACAAAATAACACATTCCAAGCAAATCAGATGAGCCGTCCTATATACATGTATGAGTAATAAACCAATGTCCCTTCATATGTTTTGAAGAGACATTTACTTCAGGCTAATTTGAATTCCACTCAAACAAAATTTAAATTTATTGGATAGAGAAAATAGATAAAGATTATGAGACACTGTGTTCAATAAGATGACAGTTGTCTTAAAGGGATTGTAAAGAGGTTTTCTATAATTTTTAAGTGTATCAGGACACTGACAGCATCAATTTGCACCATTCAAATTTTCAATCAAGATGTCTTTGGTTTTTGCAATTCTACTAAAACTATTTGTTTGATGATGTCACTAATCGCGAAGAGCCAAATGTGATAAAGCAAATTTTGTGATTAGTGACTTAATTTTTGTGGAATCACAGGAACCACAGATGTCTCATCAAAAATGGGAATGGTGCAAATTGGTGCTATTGTTAAATGACAATAAAATTTCACGAGTAGCTTTAGAAGAATACTGAGCAATATATACTTCGCATCATGAATAATATCATCATTGAATTGACCAGCTGATATCTCAATCAGGCCATCTTCAGCTCTAATTAGATGAATCATACAAGTACTGGAGGGTACATAATAACCACTCCATTTCATCAGATATAGCATCCTTCACTTCAATCTATCACAAGGGTCAGCTAGAGTGTAAACAGGATATTCAGAGGAAGAAGACTTCTAAATGTGCCGTAACATGTCTGATTTTATTAAATCTTAGTAATGGCCTTGATTGAAAGAATTATAACTTTAGGTTTAAATCAAAGCAATAAAACTCTATCACATCAAATGCCTTTTACTAAAAAATAAACCAAATTACCAGTCTTCTCAAAGTGATGCACATTTTGGGTCACACAGACTATTTTTATTTCAATAAGACTGTCTAATAAAACCAAAGACAAAGTCAAGGTAGTGAATTAGTTCATCCTCAGCTAAGTGACAAGGCCGATGTTGCTAACCTTTATAAAATAAATATAAGAACTTGAACTGATCTATGGGACAGATTATCTAGATCAGATTTACTTCTTCAATTTCCCTCTTTTAACTTCCTCAGTCTTGAAAAAACCGAATGGTTTTCCCACAGAAAATGATAGTTATTAAGAAATATCTTTTGTTCTTTTCTTGTGTTTGATTTAATGTCTAGGCTTTCCAACAGATTATTCCACTATGTACCAAAATAAGTAATGACATACCAAAGTAATTAGTTCGTTGGAGCTCTCTTAATCAGAAAATTAAATCAAGTTGAACTAATCACCTGAAACCCTCCTAATTATAGGAAAGTATATTGTGATTCTTAACATTGCTTCAGGTCCCTGCCTTTATTCAAATTTGATTGAACTAGGTGGGTTGTATGTGTAAAAATTTCACAATATTAAATGCTTAGAAATATACTACCTGGAGACCCAGAAATGATGCTGATTAGGCTTGGTCCCAAGGATTCAAATTTTTGAACATCAAATTTTCTCATCTCCCAGGATGCCACATTGTGACTGGTTTGTCAATTTGTCATCAATTTTGGAGAGTTATTTAAGATGCAAACCTTATTTTGGTACTTCATCAGCTATATTGACTTTTAAAGGCATGTAAATTTAAAAGAAGTCATATGATCATAATATACTGGAAAGAAATTATGGTAAATGGACTCCCTGTTTTATTTTCCAGGTGGATCATGGAGTGTTATAGGGAAAAGATTTGGTTGGCCTGTAACCAGGGAGATTATGTCACCTGTTCCAAGATTTTCAGCCAACTTTTATGGTAATTATCTGAATATTTTTTCAAATTTCTTACTATCACCGGACAACAGCTACAGTCTCAGTGCACTGAAATCAAGGGAATGGATCTCAATTTTTTTTATATTATACAGCTCAAGGTCTGAATGCCTTAATTCATCTTTACATTGAAAGATATAAGGACACTATGTACTTCGTGTAATAGCAAATAATGCTGAAGATGTTGGCAATAATACTGGCCTGTACTGAATTAATATCAAAAACATTCTTAATATGCATGCCAAAAACTTGATAGGGCTTAACTAATATCCTTGACAAGAAAGCTTCTACCCAATCTTTCCTTTCCATTTTTACACTTTACAATGTCTGATTTAATTCAATTTCTCTTCTTTTAGAGCCTAATCTCTTACATCATGCAATTGGGCTATTGTCACAAAACAAAACCTTGCTTTAAAAGCAAAAACATCATATGGCTTTCAAAAACTTTTATAAAATGAACAAAGGATCTGATCTAAAAGCAGACTTAGCGTCCCTAATCTTCTTAGTGAAATTGACTGGTAAACAGAAAATTTTAATTGAAAGGAATAATGATGCATAGAAACATAATGATTGAAAAATCTAAAGGATTCTATTTAATAGTGGCTTGAAATACATTGTTTTTTCCATTTTCAGAAAAACTACTAAGAAAATTAATGATCAAGGGCTAAACCAAACGGAAAGAAGGTGGACTTTAAAGTTAAAGTGGAATTTCTACATCTGAATCAATTTACAATCCATAGACAACCTGGGATGTGGTTTCAACACCACAAATTTTCTTTGATATTAACCTTATTTTTTCAGTATTATATTGTGATAACTTTTCACTGACTGATAATATTACCTTGATGTCACTTTTCTTTTAATTTTTTTCTTTCAATATCCTGTTAGTGATTTTCTTTTACATCAAGACTAAGTGAGATTTTTTCAAAATCTATCTATTTTGGAGCTCAAAATTATTTTTCCCCAAAAACCCACAAAAATCAAGTCTTTGGTCTTAGTCTGAATTTCTTTATTTTTGTTTAAAGCAAAGATAAGATATTATCAGTCAAATATCTTCTATAGGCTTTCAAGTTTAAATACCATAAATATGATCAATACAGCCAGTTTTAACTACATAAATAGTTTAATGTTTCAAATTTGTAATGATCTCTTAAAATCAATATGTTTTCTACAATGGATAATAAATCTGTTAAGATACTAGTATATCTTGTAAATGTCTCAGATTTAAATAAAATTCACAAATTAATTAGCCTTTCAAATTGGTACATCCTTGTTTGTGGGGGTGTGAAAATACTGTCATAAATAAAATAACTAACATTGGCCCATGAATGTTTAGATAGGGGATTTAAAAAAAAAAACAACAAAAATATGACTGCAGAGAAAGATAGCTGCTTGACAAACACACACTCTTTTAAAGACTTGAATACTATTGATTTTGCTCTGATGTGATTCTTCTTTGGACTCTTCTATAAAAAAAGACTTTCTGGAAGCATATCTATCTCAAAGACGAAGATCAAATGTAACTATTTGTCACTTCTATCTACTCTTACTGGTATTGTAGTAATATATCTAAAAGTTGCATACAAAATGTGATTTCAGGCTCTGTCTAAATTATCAACTATGTGTTGTGAAGGCAAACAAGGTAGCTTGAAAATTCTATCAAGAAACCTTTCAGCAAGATTGTTTTCCATCTTAATGGAATCTAGAATTTAGGTTTACTACCTAATTATTGAGATGAAATTGGTGGTCAGCATGGGTCTAATAATAAATAAAAAAAGGCAACTAAGGGCAGAAAAATAACCTGGTTCTGTGCATCACAATTATATTAAGCAATATCATTTGTGGTATATTAACTGCACATTACACATGTGTTGCTGAAGCTACAAATCTTGAAACAGAATGGATTCAGTTCCCTATGGAAAACCTCACATAACAAATAAAATCAATATAAATCCTTAGAGCCTAAAATTACGTCCCATACAAGGACGACACTTAAAATAAAAAAAATGTGAAAATTAATTCCTCACAAATATGCTGAATATCTGTGAATAAATAAAAATAAAAGTACAGAGTAAATAATTTCAAAGTTTCATATTTGGAAAATTAACCTAGAAACAGAATAATTAGTAGTCATAATTCCTAAGCAAAACTTACCATTCATATCTCTCATAGCTCTTGTGAAATCTCCTGGATCCTTAAAACTCACAAAACCATATCCTTTAGATTTATTAGAACGCCTGTCTCTCACAATTTTAGCTTTTAAAAATGAAGGATATTTAGAGAAAGCCCGGGCTAAGTGTTCATCACTAACTTCATTTCCCAGGTCACCACAAAACATTCTAAAATCATCTGAAATACAAAATTATAAGTTTTTACTTTTCTTTTAAAATAGCTCAGGCACATCCAGGGATTGTCCAGACAAAAGTATGGGAGAATGAATTAATGGAAATTTGGGGGCACATGAACTGAAATCCCTTCCATGGCATGAATTCATTTTCATAATGTCAAGCTTTATGAACTGTCTAATACTTTGACTGTCCTTTGCAATAGGCAATTTCCTTGTGTTATAGAATGAAGTGATTTGATTGGATTGTACAGTAGCAAATTCTAACAATTCTGTAGTGTTCAATCAAATCAAATCACTGCATTGACAAAATTCCATTATACCAGAAAAGAGCCTAGTAAAGACAAGGTATTAGATGCAGTTTGTAATAGCTTGACATTGTAAGAATAGCATGAATCAGGTTCAACTGTGATCAAATTCAACTATGGTAGTAAATGATCAGATAGATTTATCTTGTAGTATGGGCAGCTTGCATGTCACCCCAGAAAAGATATTCATAAACATATGGAAGCACACTACATCCACAAATATATTAAACTATTCTTTTGAATATCCTGGGTGTATCTAAATATCAGTGACTGATTAAAGGGAAATAACCTGTTTCTTTAAACTAAGCTATGAGCCCACAATAGTATCACTATCAAGGGCAGAGTCACGATGAATAAATAAATCTAAATTTCAAGCTTGTTTTAAGTTGTCCAAAACACTTAGACTGAGTAGAAATCTACTTCAAGACATCACCAGCAATATGGAGCTTATATATCTGATAAAGCATATATAAAAACAATTGCAACACCATAAGTGTGAAAAATAAGGCATCACATACCCTGAACCTCAAGAAATATGACGTTAATGTTAAGTGAGCAGTGAGGTCATAGCTAAAAGCTTGGATATCATGTAATTGGATATCATTAGATTACAGTAGAAAGCACCCACTATTGTTGAAAAGGTTTAGAGGTGAAAGCACTAACAAGTGTTGGTTTCATGTGAAAAGTTCATCAGCAGCTACCAATGTTTTGCCAAAATGTTGTCTTGGATTTCAGGTTTCGTTTTGTGGTTTGGATCGTTAGTATTTGAATCATTTATCTAAATTGTTAGAAGCAAAATGAAAATAAGAAAGACTCACCATTATCCCATTCTGATAATGTCTGATCTTCCCATGTCGTTCCAGCTGCAGTCCGCACAAATTTTTTCTTTTTATCTTTTTTATCTTTCCGACTTAACGTTTCTGAATCCATGTCTTGATCTGTTCCCATGGAAAAACCTGGCATGGCCTCCCCATCTATATCTTGTTGATTTACATCTGACTGTGTTTCTGCAGCCATGGGGATTGCAGGCATATCAGGTCCTATTGGAGCTTCAGTAGTTTCTGCTGCTTTTTGTTTCTTTTTCTTTTCTTTCTTTGGAACCAACCTAACAGGTTCTGCTGAATACACCACCTTAGGTTTTTCAATTTCCTGGGGTGGCATTTCGTGTGGCATAGGAGACCAACCGTGCTGGTTTGGATTCATGTAAGGACCTGGTTGTCTCATCATTGGTGGACCCATTCCAGGTCCTCCCATAGGAGGCATAGGTCCTCTAGGACCACCCATCATATGATGTGGACCTCCAGGACCTTGACCCATAGGGCCCTGAAATGACATTTGGCCACCCTGAGGACCATGACCTGGACCTGGACCTTGGAAACCTGGATGTTGCATGGGTGGACGAGAAGGAAGAGGCATAGGGGGTCTGTTAGGGGGTGGTGGTCTATGACGACCCAATTGAGGGGGAACAAATGAGGGTCTGGGTGGTGGAGGAGGTGGATGCATGGGAGGGTGACCATTTGGAGATTGGGCCATATTTCCTTGAAGCAAAGGAGGAGGAGGTGGTGGCGCTATTAATGCTGAAAAAATGAAAAAATACAAATGTGAACTTGTCAGGTTCTCAGAGGCTAAAGATAAACAGCTGCTATAACTTTGTTAACGAAATAAGCTAATGAAATCAGTTTTCCAGAAGGAAATTTTTATTTTCTCTTTCTTCGAGTTATTGTTTCTCCTAATAATGCGGTATTTGATAAATGCATATCGGATTTTAACTGTGAACAAGGACAGTCATTTGAAATTCATATCTACTGAATATGAAAACGACCAATGAATAACCCTTTCAGATGTCAACAGACTATTATCTATACCTACCAGATAGTGATAAAGTAGCAGGTTGATCAGCTTCATCTGCCTCTACTCCAGCTCGTATTGTTTTCAGCTGTACCTGAACATCATGAAATGTCCTAGACCCCAAAATAAACCTTGAATCTACAGGCTCTGGTCCTTCGATTTCCGCTTCAAATCTACAATTAGAAAAAGAAACAATTCTCTGAAGTTGCAGTACATGCTAGTTTAGGAGTAATATTTTGAAATATATATTAAAGTTTGAAATATACATTAAAGTTTGAAATATATATTAAAGTTGTAATGAAGGTAAAAGCTATTAAGGGAAAGATTTAAGTTTGATTAGCGTATTCAAGGATAAAATTATGAAGAGTCATTTTAATTTTCACAACATCTAAACAACAAGAAAATTCAATTTTGTATTCAAAACTTTTATCATGAATATGTTCAAAACCTACAGTCACCACTAGAAGAGACACAAAATGACCTAAAAAAATATACATAATTGATCACCAAATTTCATGACAGAATGCACAATTTATCTTACCTCACAGAATTAAAAAAACTAATAATAATAATAAAAATAATAACCTCTCTTCTACGTGGGTCAGAATTAAATCCAATACACCGAAGTCACGTGGTCCTGTCTAACATTCCACCCATGTGGACAATATAGAGAATAATATGAAAAATCTAGATGTTATCTGAAATGATTTGAGTCTTATTCAAAATGAACATTTAAATATTCACCTGTTCATCTCCTCCTCCATCTCCTTTAATCTTTCTTCACTTAGAGCAGCCATTTTTAAGACCGGTCAGGTACCTTTTTTGTCTGTTTGTTTCTGAAATCTAAATTGATAATTCTATTTAAAGTATGGCAATCTTGATCATAATTTCAATTGTTTTCCATTGTAATCTAGCAAGTTTCTATTGCAGTCCAATAACGCAAATAGTTGTGTCCCTAAATGCATGACCTGTTTTTTTGATGCAAGTGAAGTATTAAGGGCGAGCATAACTAGTCCAGCCCTTTTTTAATTCATAAGTCCTGTGACAGCCAATCAAATCGCTGATGGCCAATGACCTCTTGTGACAACCAACCAAATCTCTGATAGCGATCATTGCTTTTGAAAAACGATTTTCTACTACTAGGACTACTCGTTGATCGATCTTAAGTGATAAATAAACATAACTAGGTGTTACACTAATGGTGTTAGTGTGAATTAGTTGTTCTAAATCTATGCGTGAACTACAGAGAGTAGATGTTAAAGAGATACCTCTGAAAGTAGATTTTAGGTTTGCTACTACTACATATTTGCCTATAGAGGCTTTAAGATTCCTTTACTTTACGTTACATTGTGTCGCAATTCATCATCAAATTCATTATCTTCAATCAAGACTCTCGGTCCCATTAGAGTAGCCTAGTCTAGTATACTATTAATAATATTTTGGAGTTGATGGTAATGACTTATTATGATTGGTAACTTGATAACAATGTTGTTGAACAAATGTCAAATGAATAAGACTATTAGATCAGAACAATCATATAAGCTCAGTAGAGGATAGTAATATCTAGTAGTCATAAAATAATGAGAGCAGTGCTCAGTCATGAGTGGCAGTGGTTAAATAAAAAAAAAAAACAAGAGTCATTCCACTTAAAAACCGTACAAAACTGTAAAGATCGTTATATTGTACTCTAATGATGCTTAATCAATAAATAATAAAGGTGTTCCGTCAACTCGTTAAATACTCACCAGTCAAAGCTTTGAAATTCCAGTGAAAATCTTTCAAAATACGTTAATGTTGTGTTTTCATCAAATAACCATCAATATACGATCAAAGGGCAACAACTCTAATTATGTTTGTAGTAAAATCTCGGTTTTCCAGTCTCTTAAAGTTTCGAATTATCATGGGAGGTAACTAATACTTTTGACGTTGATAAATGAAGTTATTCCCCATCGATTGTAAAACTGCAAGGAATATCCAACTTCCGTTTCTTATTAGAAAACAAATATGGCCGGCCTGGGGACGTTACTCAGGATAGTAGGGTCTCCTGCTGCTTCAATTTTGAAGAATGCAGCCCTAATCAATGTCAGTCCAATTACCGTTGCTAGGTAGGCCTACTGAAACGCTTTTTTTCACATTTTTCGTGTCCATATTTAATCTATTTGTGCCAGCAACGCAAGTCTGAATCTTTACGTAACTAAATTTTTACTTCAGTTTTTGTCTTTGCCTTTGACATTGACTTTCTGAACTGATTTTTTCCCCCTTTATTTTCGTGGTGTTTATCAAAGATTGCCAGGTCTATAATTTAAAAGGCAATAGTAATCGAGAGTTACTACAAACTTGTACTCTACCATTTTACAATACAACACAATACAAATCTTTTTTCAAAATGGATAGATTCGCTATCTGCTTGACCAATGGTACCCTAGAGAGAAAGTACCTACTTTAGGGAGTTTTGAAATAATATTTCTGAAATATATATTTTCATAGACCCAAATCAACCCCATCTAAAAATGGTGAAACTGTCCTTTTAATAGTTTAGCCCAAGGCTATTTTCACTACAGCTAAGTGCCGTTATTAGGTCTGAGACCTAATTATGGTCATGGATATTGTTGACTCTTGTCTTTTGTCACGTCATGTTCCACAAATTCAAAATGGCTGTAGCACAAGAGTCATTGGTGTTTGTTCCATCTAAACGAAAACGTGAATTTTTCGATCAAGGCACATTTTTGTCAAAAAATATAGTTCAATAGTATGTACAATTTGGGGGAAAGTGTGTAGCCTACCCATATTTCGAATAAGTTCATAACTTAATTTAGACATATTTATCATATAAATATAAGAGATAGCTTACTGTAAATATGGCTTGTATTCATGTTGCCTATCCTTATGAAAAATCTGTTTAATCTGCTTTGTAACATATCAACAGTTGACCATTTTGTTGCTTCAAAATCATTTTGTTAAACATAAAATAATATTTTTGGGTTATTATACTTAAGTGCTAAGTTGACTTTAACCTGACATCTTTCAATGAGGTTAATGCCAAATGAAAAATTATTTTGTTTATTATACTTTAAAATAACATTTTAGTCGCAAAGCTTCCCAGTGGCTGCCAGATGAGGATTATATCAAGGAGTATAAACAGCCTGTCCTGTATTCCAAAGAAGTTCTGGAGGATGATTTTGTGGGTTTTCCTGTCAATTGTAAGTATCCTGCAAATTATGGATTTAAGGCTTTAATGTTTAAAAATATATTTTTGAAATTAGTTACCATCCAGTGAAAGAAAGGTTTTGTGAAGTTATATGTAAGTTCAAATATCATATTCAACTTTAAAAATCCCTTCACAAGATTTTATTTAATGATGATATAATTTCTATATTAATTACTTTCAGTGGGTTCAGTTGTACCTGAGAAAACGGTTCAGAATGTTGTTTTGAACTTCGGACCTCAACATCCAGCTGCTCACGGAGTATTACGTCTTGTCCTCACACTTAATGGAGAGGTTCGTATTTTAGAATTAAGGTTTATAGGCTAGCATAAAAAAACATATTTCCATATTTGTCACGTCAAAAAAATGTAAGCTGTGCATTTATATAACAGATCCTTCTTTTTCACATCTTTATACCCCCAGTCTTCTGCTGAAAAGCTGGTCGTTACAAAAACCCATTTCATTACATGTTAACAGTTTAGTAGTTCCTAAAAAAAACCAGCTGTTGTGTATGGTGTATTATGAAATAGTGAAAGATCTCATCCACTTCAACAGTGGTTGCCAACCTTTTTCAGCTTTCACACCACTGGAGCAATCACCTGGACCTTTAACCCCGCGAAAAATTTGTTTCATCCACATTTCCAGCATGTGATGATTTGAGGTGCTCTCTCAATTCAAAATGAATTTTTCTCCTACACCAGTTGGCCACACTGCTGACACCCTAGTCCCACACCCCCAGGGGGTGAAAACACTCCAAGTTGGGAACAGGGTCACTACAATATTACTTTAAATATTACTTTTACTTTAAAAGGGCGGCTAGCATACGGAGTAAACAAAGTTCTTGTGGCTGCTAATTAATAAATAATGTTGGCTTTTTATACGCCCACATGAATATGTGGTCGTATATTGTCGTCGCCCCGGTCCGTCGGTCAACATTTCTTGTGAGCACTATAGAGACTACAGTTTTTATCTGATTTTGATAAAACTTGGTGTGATGCTTTAGATTGATAAGTTCTAACTCTAAATTTTGATGAACGGTTTTTGAGTTATTGCCCTTGACTTTGTTAAAACGTGTTGAAATTTGTTAAAAATAGTTTGAGCAGGATTGACGCTACAGTTTTCAACCGATTCTGATGAAACTTGGTGTGATCATTGGAATTGATAAGATCTCGGACAAGTTCTAATTTGATGCATTTTCGATGAACGGTTTTTGAGTTATTGCCCTTGACTTTGTAAATACGCGTCAATATTTTTTAAAAATAGTCCGTGAGCAGGATTGAAGCTACAGTTTTCAACCGATTCTGATGAAACTTGGTGTGATCATTGAAATTGATAAGATCTCGGACAAGTTTTAACTTGACGCATTTTCGATGAACGGTTTTTGAGTTATTGCCCTTGACTTTGTTAAAACGTGATGAAATTTGTTTAAAATAGTTTGTGAGCAGGATTGACGCTACAGTTTTCAAACGATTCTGATGAAACTTGATGTGATCATTCGGACAAGTTCTAAATTGATGCATTTTTGATGGTTATTTTTTTAGTTATTGCCCTTGACTTTGTAAACACGTGTCAAAAGTTGTTTTTTGCCCTTGTTTAGAGCTGTGTGATTTAATTGTTTGTTTGTTTTGTGGAATTATTCAGCATAAATAATTTCTTCAATATGAGAAAATTCGTACTTTAGTCAATAAAGACTGTTTTATTATTTCTGACAGCTGCCAGTGGGCGTATGCTACCTTGCAACGCAAGCTATCTTTAATTTTCAGGTTGTAGTAAGAAGTGATCCACATATTGGATTATTACATCGAGCCACAGAGAAACTCATAGAATATAAAACATATACACAGGTATTCTGAACTGTTTATTCTTTTAAGCTTCAATTTCCCTTGAAGAACAGTTCATATACTGCTGTTTTTTAAGTTCTGGCATTAAAATCTCAATGTAAACTATAAATTAAGCATCCAAAAACTGAACGAATGCGTGGAGAAAAACATGTAAATAAAATTGACCTTTTATCCATGTTAGATGATTTTACGGACAAGTATATGGGTTACTTTTTGTGACAATTTTGGAATATCAGAGAAAATAATTGATAATGTGTAAACAAAACTTTTTATCTTAATTTTTTGGTATCTTTGTAAAATAGAAGATTTCTTTTCATTCAGCTTTTAGGTTCTAAGATGTTTCTTATGTAATATTTTCGTATTTCCTTTTCTTTTCAGGCATTACCCTATTTTGACAGATTAGATTATGTGTCTATGATGTGTAATGAACAAGCCTATTCTCTGGCTGTAGAAAAATTATTGAATATTGAAATACCACTTAGAGCTAAATATATTAGAAGTAAGTTGAGTTATTTTTGCCAAAGTCATGTTTCTGAAAGGGATTGTAAAGAGGTTTTCTGATATTTTTGTGTATAGGAGACACTGATATCACCAAGTTTCAGACCGAAGTTTCTGGCTCTTGCAATTCCACTAAAAGGAATGGTTTTATGAAGTCACTATTGCAAAAGCTGCTATTGAAGAACCTTTTCAATATTGATGTCACAAAATAGGTTTTAATAGGAATTACAAGAATCACAGACATGCGATTAAAGATTTGAATGGTGAAAAATTGATGCTATCAGTGTCCCTTTTTCAAATCAATTTTTAAGTAAAACCTGTTCACGCACAATCCCTTTAAATAAAAAGGTTTGAATTTTATTCTCCAAATTGCTTGAGGCCGTCATTTGCCTTTTCCAAATTAGATTGAGACGTCCTTAAACTGATCATTTGATGATTACCCATTATTGATGTGTGTATTTTTTCAGCAATGTTTGGCGAAATAACTAGAATTTTAAATCATATTATGTCTGTTGGTACACATGCTCTAGATGTTGGTGCTCTGACTCCATTTTTCTGGTTGTTTGAGGAGAGAGAAAAGGTCAGTCCTTTACAATTATTGTAACTTATTTCATGAAAATAGTAATTGAATAGCATGTTGAGCTACACCCAAAATTAATTTCTGAGGAATTTGTTTTCCTACCAACATTTAACACTTGACTTGTAATCAAAATCCAGCTCCTGTACTTAGTGAGCCACAAACTTACAACAAATGCAGCAGCAACTGAAGTGAATCATATTTAAAGATGCCTCTGTGTATAATAATTTTTATATGAGCATTAATTGACAAAATATTTGTGTTAAGAAATGATGTGTTTTTGCTTCACTTGCAAAGTCCAATCTATAGAGCATATGATTAAGATTGAAAGAGGTTTAATATTCTGTTTTGTGTATTTAGATGATGGAATTCTATGAGAGAGTATCTGGAGCTCGTATGCATGCAGCTTACGTCAGACCAGGTGGTGTTTATCAGGTAGGAAATTGATTTCTCATGACTGAATGGCAGTTTTCAAGAAATTCTATATCAATAGTTTAAATTTAGTAGCCCCAGAATTGAGGCTGGCCTGGCTGTGGCCCTCTGGTTTTAATTTAGTTCTGGTGCTGTGAGCCCTCCTTGAAAATTCTATGACCCCTTCAGCCTTCACCAAAGGATTCATAGGAATGCCTGTGCATACCAGCCCCTAGTATCAGTTGTTCAAAGAGTTGCCATCCTTTACTTGCCCTAACCACATTTCCTCTTTTAACTCATCTCTCCAAGTCATTTATCATATTGTAATACAATATGTTATTTCAACATCCATGTTTAAATTTAACTAAATAATGTTTGGCACTTGAATAATATTTAATTGTAGGATTTACCATTAGGATTAATGGAAGATATCTATGAATTTATCTCCAAGTTTGGTCAGAGAATTGATGAAACTGATGCCCTATTGACTAATAATGATATCTGGAGAATGAGAACCATTGATGTTGGAATCGTCACAGCAGAGGATGCTATGAATTTAGGTTTCAGGTATTGAATTTAGCAATTGATCATTTCAAAGCCCTGACATAGTAGATGCTCTACCTATCTGACTTTCTTGGCTAATAGATGTGGTATACATATTATCATTAATTTGATTCAGATATGGATCTTTTTACTGTATCTATTTGGGTTCAGCTCATATTTTGCTGTTACCACAGGTTTTAGATAAAAACAAATGCATTATCAGTTTATAGCCAAGTGTTTTATGGGAAATAAAGGTTGGATAAAAATATTCTTTGTTGAATTCAAATTAGTTTTATTTTACCCTATTCATATTTTGGGATTTTAGTGGTGTTATGTTGAGAGGTTCTGGTATAAAATGGGATTTAAGAAAAACTCAACCATATGATGCGTATGATCGTGTAGATTTTGATATACCAATTGGTACCAATGGAGACTGTTATGACAGGTAGGAATAGGGGAATTACATGTTTGAATATCGTACAACCTTTGAATGCCATAAATGTATATTAAAGATCCCACCCAACTTATTCTTTGGGCTTCAATATGTACATAAATCTAATGCTGTAAGTTTATTTATCTAGGTATCTGATTCGAATGGAAGAAATGAGACAGAGTTTAAGAATTATTCATCAATGTTTAAATGATATGCCAGAAGGAGAAATCAAAGTTGATGATCATAAAGTTGTTCCTCCTAAACGAGCTGAAATGAAGGTATTTATCTACTCGTGTAGATTTATATATATTATGATTATTTGTAGTTTTCATTTTGAGATAGCGTCAACTCAAAATCTTTTCAATCAGTTTATGGCATTTACCAGCTACGGTAGAACTGATGAGATATTTTGAAGAGCAGGTTGGAGGAATGCATAAATGAGGTAAATTCGCCTTTTGTTGTTGAAGTCATTGAATTTAACATGGAATACAGAGTTTTGACACATATCTCCCTCTTTAACAAAACTCAAAGCAGCTACCTTATATACCATTACACTTCATCAAATCCTGTATCATTATAATAGAATGACTTGATGTCTGTGGACTTTTATAAAATGAATGTTCTTTCATAATGAAAAGGTAGCAGCAAAATAACCCCGCTTTATGAATGTAGTTCTCAGACTAAAGTTCAAGATTTGAAGTTGAGAGCTTAACTAATATGATCTTTTTCCAGGAATCTATGGAAGCTTTGATTCACCATTTTAAACTCTACTCTGAAGGCTACAATGTTCCTCCTGGTTCTACATATGCAGCTGTTGAAGCTCCAAAGGTAAGAATTTTGTCCCTCTGAGAGAAAATATATGATTGTTTTACATGTGTGAATGGTTCTTGTTCATGAATGTCTATGATGAAGTGATTTGATAATAGAATAAAAAAATGTGGAAAATTAAGACTGCCATCAATCACCATATGAGTTATTGCCCTTATTCTTACAAAACGTGTTCAATTTTTCACTTGTAAACACTCTAGAAGGCACAATTATTGACAGACTTTGATGAAACTTAGTAAAATTGTTAATTATCACCCATGGAAGAACCTTATTGAAAATAATTAATATGAGTTATTGATCTTGTTCTTGAAAACGCTTTAAATCTATAGTTTGTAAACAATAAAAGCCTTGATTCTTGTCAGACTGACAAATTTTGGTCACATTGTTCAGTATCACACCAAAAAATTGGATAAAAGTGTATAACTGAAAGTTGAATATTTCATAGTGGTGATTGTTATCGTACTGCCAAATATTTTTATTCAAAATCAAGCCTGGCAAGCTATCTTATGATTTTTTGTTACATGGGTTTCATGTCCCAGTTGACAACCACTTGAATTGAGTTATGAGTTGTTGGCCTAAAATGAAAGATCCTAAAAACTACCTGTACACTGTATTGCACTCAATGCCAGATGTCTGATATTTCAGGGTGAATTTGGTGTGTATTTAGTATCAGATGGTACCAACAGACCTTACAGATGTAAAATAAAGGCTCCTGGTTTCGCTCATCTGGTAAGTTTCGGATATGTCCTTTAATAGATGGTTGTGTTATAAGAAAGAAAAGAAAGAAATAAACAACCATATTTTACAAGGATAATAACTTAGTAGGATCCAGTCTATCACCTGGTCCCTTACCGAATCCCTTGGCATTCATCTTCCATACCTGTTTGTATGTTGTTTTAATTAAATGATAAGGAAATATGATTTATTCAAGATCAACGTAATTTCTTTGATGTAACGAAGCAAATGACACGAATGCTTGAACTGACAATCTGACATGGGTACAAATCATCACAATAGTCTTTCACCTGGTATTTGTAGTATCATTTGATGCACAGAGTTGAACTATTTTCATTTTTAGCTATTTCATTTTTTCACCAAGTAAATTTTTAAGTTATCTTTTCAATGGATTTTTATATTTTCAAATGTATTGTATTTTCAGGCTGCATTAGACAAGATAGCTAAACAACACTTTTTAGCTGATGTAGTAGCCATTATAGGTAGGTTCTTTCATCTTTCTCCTCATATGCTATGTGGAGCTATTGATTTTATCGCCTGACATTCTTATATTTTTGTGGAGATAAACAATGGTACTTTAATATTTTCTGTTGTGTAGGGGGGAAATAGCATCTCCTTAATATCAATTTCTAGTCAAAAATATCAATAATAGTTATCATTTGGAACTTTCCGCTAATTGAAAATATTTTGTTGTTTGATCTGTCTTAGTCAAAGACCTTATTTTGTATCTGGATCCAATAATATCTGGAGCAAGCTTTCGAACACTTCATTCATTTCTTGGTTGGTCAACTCTTATATCCTTTTAGCGTTTATGGACATTGAAATATATCAGCCATGACAGTAGAAGCTAACTACTAGTACTTAATCACCAAAACCTACTGTAGCTTGATTCTCGTATATCAAAAATATATTAACTGCGTAATTAACTGTTTATTTGCATATTTATTTTAGGTACCTTAGATATTGTGTTTGGAGAAGTTGACCGTTAAATACCCTCAGAATTTTAAATTGAATCAACATCTTGAATTGTTATGTTACTGATATATTTATTCTTGAATGTAAAAGAAGTTGCATTGGCTTGAAAATCCTAATGTTAAAAAACTTGAGAGCCAAAGTTCTTCAAAAGAATTTTCGAGCTGAAATAAGTAGCTTTTTTTTGCTCTTTATATAAAAGGGATCAAACACCTTTAGTTATGACCTTAAGTTCTAATCTTGAACATGACATGTCTTGTTAAAAGATGATTTTAGGAACTTTAGATACAGTAATAAGGGTCTGAATCTAGAAAGTGCTACGTATTTATTTTGGTTTTCACTGTAAATCAATAATCTCACCAGAAATAAGATTTTGTAAATATGATTTAAAACAGAATGGTTGTTACTGAAATAAATGAAGATTAGAAAATCATTTACAGTTTTTTCTTTTCCTCCTATATATTATGGCTCATTTGGAGCAAAAATTTACTTTCTAACCTTTAGTTCATTTCTGAAAGCTCCTTTGATTATAGCCTAATTTCTTCTTGCCAATAATGAAGAATAAAGAGGTGCCGACATGAAAAGAAGATTAAGACCCTGTATGAAACAGATCCCTGGAATATTAAAAGTGTCCCCTGCTCTCTTCCAAGAGTTTCATTAAATGTACACTGCTCCTGGCCCCAGGGGTCAATAGCTCCATGAGGTGAAGAACAACACATAAAATGATGTGGATATATTATACAATATACATTTCCAGAAATTATAAGGTGAGAAGATTACTTAAAATTACTCATTAAAATTTGAGACTCAACTCGCCTCTTTAATAGGTATCTTAAGCTTCTTAATTGTGCCTATTCTGAGGGTTAGACCAATATTATATAGGCCTACTAAGAAACAGTAAAGTTTAGAACATTTAGAACAATGTTCAAGGCATTGCATTCAATATGGTTAGCATTTAATAGCGAGTTGGACTTTTTAAATAGTATTATTATGTAGAATTATTAGATTTTTTTTTTAGTTGTCGAGGATCACAGGATGAGTCTGTCGCGTGGTTACGAGAACAAAAGCTTGCCCCGTAACCAACACCACAACTCATCATCGCGAACACACATATGACGTAAACCCGAAAATAGGAAATTTGAAAAATTTATAAATAGATTCATAGATCAGGCAATATCATATTAGCCAATCCATAATTAGATGTCTATAAGCCAATCGTAGGCCCTTGTCTACTTCCTTTTTCAAATACAATATCTCTGCAATCTTATCCGCCATGTGGGCCTTATTGAAAACCGGTTTCCAATGAAAAGTTTTGTGTTTATGTAACCAGGCGATAAGGGTGTTATCAAATATGTTTGCTATGTAATTTCTATTGACTAAGAAAAACATTCAAGTTTCTATTCATATTTTAATCCATTATTAGCCCCTTAAAAAATAACATTTTTTTAAACTTGCACACATGACCTTATAAAATTCTCGAAGTATTGTGGGGTGAGAATTCTTTGTTGCACCATATCATGAAATTGATTTTGTTATTTTGTAATTTGACCCACGTAACCAAGCTGCAATGTTTATGAAGTTAATAACCCACCAACTGTCACGTAATTGATTTTCCGAAAGAATCTTTATTTTGCATGATGCATAGGCATACATGGAATAAACGAAGAAGCTGCGACCAATTTTCATTAAAGAATGTCAATTGGCATGACAATTGCATCAAACTAAGTGTTCATTATGTAAACGATGTCCTTATCGCATTCAGCTGTAACGTCCCACGACCTAATTCAGTTTAGCATGGCCTACATTGATTATCATGTCACCTTGATCTTGTGCACTATAAATTGAATATTGAATACATAGAACTAAAAGCATGTCAAGCATTAATAGGAGATAATATAGCTTTGACCTTCCTTGTCAAATAACCTTCAGACAATTGATAGGCAGATTACACTTTTGTTATCTTAAGAAACTTTATATTGTACATGTATGCAAAACAGATTTAATGAATAGTATTAAATACTATTTAAATAGCCCCTATAGTATTAAATTGAATATGATATGCAGGTTTACCACCAGCTTGGTTTCCCATGACTGCTTTTACAAAAGGATTAATGTCATACAACACACAACTTTACTTTCATGTATGTGCAATGGTTGTTAAGTATGACGTAAGCTGAGAACGCCTAGAAACCATAAATGATTTATTTATTATCGAACTGCACTAGGAAATTCCATTTGGTCATGATTCTTGTCTTAAGTTATATTTGACAACCATTCTTTCAATCCGTAAATTGAAATACAGGATCTCTTCCGTTTGAATATATGAATTTAAATGAGATTGCATATTTTTCTTCAGTGGGCTATAGACCAGGAAAATTCATCGAAATTGCACCTGGCTGAAAGACAAGACGTCTATTTTTTTGGCATTATTATTTATTATACAATCATTGTATGCCTTTGTAAGATTAGTGGTCACATCATTTTGCGAACATAATAAAATTTACAATTTTGGGTGATGACTAGGCTTATTATTGATCTTTATCACTGAGTCAACGCGCATATGATTATTGAATTGAATAAAAACTGTTGCATATAATAACTTGCAGCAACTCCTAGAGAGTTTATGGATACGCCATCTGTCCTCGTTTGGCAAGGAAATTATACCCTCTGTACCACCAGCAAACATGCTTCTTTACAATAGACAGGACACAAATCTAAATGTTGAAGCTTATCGTCTCTTGTATTTGTAAAAGGACGTTTGATTCTGTAAGCTGAGAAGCGTATTCCCTCTTCCCAATCTATTCAAAAAAAAAAAACCAAAAAAAAAACCAAACAAACCCTGCAATATGTAATCTCAAAGAATTTTTATCTTTGTACTCAATACCTCCTGATTGCATATTTTTCGACTTCACTTAACCCTCTATCTCTTTTCACAGTGGAAAATTTAGGGAAAGTACCTTTCTTTCCCCTTAAATCTTTTCGTTCATTTTCAGATTAAAAAATAATATGATAGCTTTTTTCGAACTTATTACTATACGTATTATATTTATACTATCATGATAATTGTACAAGTATGAATAATTCAAACGCATTGACGTGTTTCCAGATATTAATAGAGAGTGGGCGGATCCAGATGGAGGGAATAATTTTGAATGTCAATGAACACAGTTTCTGAACTTAAATATCCTTATAATCTTATCCTGTTATGAAATTGAATTATTTTGTTAATCTATATCATGTGAAAATTTTTTATATTTCTATAAGCAACCGAGTTGTTATTTTCTAGTCCTGGCCTCTTTTATTTCATCTATCAGGTCTATACGCTATGTGCATATGTATATAATAGGTAAAACCGGTTGACAACTTCCTAATCACACAAGTTTTTTTTCACCAAATATACTGTTGACTTCCAATTATGCATTGAGGAAATCCTAATATTTTGAAGTCAGATTTAAATGAAATTTCAATTCATCCCGTACATAATTATTTCCACCGAGAGTATTATTTTTTATGCATTATTAAAGCAATGAGGAAGTGCAAGAAGATACTATTGATTCAAAAGATATAAAATCATAATATTACCTTGTATGATGGAAATTAAAGGAATTGTTAAAAGGTTTTACGAAATGTTTTATGTGTATCGGGTACACTGATCATCAATTTGTACCACACCAATATTAAGTCACGTGGTTCCTGCAATTCCACAAAAATTAGTGTTTGCAAAATATGACTCTTCGCGATAAGTGAAACAAACCTTTCTACAATTCCTTTAATTCCTCTTTATGGTAACTTGTATGTTCCTGAAAAATTGGGTCTGTTAATTGACCATGTTTAAGTAAATGATACTGTGAGAAATTGAGTGCTTTTAAACGCCCATTACAATGGCGACTGAGCTGGCATGATACTATTGGATTCTAGATGTAACTTAATTTTCCATGTTCGAGTCCGTTGTATTCAGAATTGTTTACCTTGATGCTGCAATGGGAACCTTATTTTTTTTTATATCGTGTCAAATTTACCCCTTAACCATTTAGCAAATGTCTGAATTTTCGCCTCTGTGTTCATATGAAATGACATGTAATCTAGGGAAACATTTCGTGGACACATGGTTCTGATATTTGGGCGTTTTTCGTGTCGTGGTTGTAAAATTCAAACGAATTTGGAATTTTGGCATATCACATTCACCGTCTCTTATTATTAATTATATTGTAACATTAAGCCGATTTGACTAAACCAGTTCAATAATGACTTTCTTTCTAGGAATTACACAATCAATAATTTCCATGAAATGAAAGTCATCACATGTATAAATAATTTCAAAATTTGGAGCATAGCGACGGGAAATTAAATCTTGGCAAGATTTCAAATGTTATTGTATGTTGTGAATATGAAACGATTCTATTCAATTGCAGCACGAGCCTTTAACGTGCAATGTGAGTCATGAATATGACCCATATACAATATTAATGCCTACATTGAAATATATTGCTCATTGCTAAAATTATCCTTTCTTGTTTGAACTTCCTTGTCCTTTACTCTCCAATATCAACGTTATAATATAAAATATATGACGTAGGTTGAATATGAATAAAGAACCAGGACGTCCCTTTTCCTTTATAATGTACTAAGATGCCGTCAAACCCTTTGTATATTGGTATTGTTGTGAAGACATTATAGCTCTTTTGGTTAATTTGTTAATTTGAATGTTGATACGAGATCTTTGTATCTGCGTTAAAAATATTTGAATATAATTGCTAGTGGACGTGCAAGAAATATTCCCAACTACCCTCTCACATGTGATTGGTTTTGGGTCGTTTCTATAGGTGTATGCTAAATATTCTAAGTAGGTCACCACTTGCAGATTAGAAAAATAATCTTGAATATAAATGTCGGTTGTATTGAATTTTACCTGGTTGAAAATCGATAAACGTAAAAACCCAGACTAAAGTATGCAGTATTCATTACATTATGTCACTTGTTGTCATAGCAACTATCGAAACAGTTGATAAAGACATATCCAAGTACACAAGGCTTGAATTTCATAATTCTGTCATTATTCCTGAGCTAAATACTTGAAAATAGAAAATAGTAATCTAAGTTGACGCAACAAAAAGAGACTCCCAAAAATAAAAAAAAGTCATGATCAATGATAGAACATAGGCCAACTTAAGTCTACTGATAACTCAAAGGTGACTGTAGGAATCTCTCCTCTTTTTGGGATATACGCTGTTTAAACGAAACCCAATCACTGCTTGTTTTACAATAAACTAGAGAGAGAAGCACAATCATCATAATAATATGTAATCACTCACTAATTAGTCCTTATCATTACACTATGCCCAAATGGAACAAAACATATACACAGTTCAGTTCAGCATTGAATTGAAACACCTTTAAGGAACGTATAGTAAACCGTTTTAAATGAGAAGTTCTGTCTATGTCCATTTTGCTGATTTAGTATTCGCAAATAATCGGGATAACAGTAATGGATATAAATGTTGTAGCATGGATCAAGTCCAGCCACAACGAAACGGACATTAAAGCTGCAGTTAAACCATATCCAATTCTGTCGTATTCTACTGGTCATCATGGCCTCATAGAGACAGGTGGTGTTTACAAAACACATACATGGTTATTAAAGGTACATGTACGTGATTACAAGAGTTTGTCCAATATTTCTATTAGTATCATATTTGACAAGTTGATATAACTTGTATTCTCATTCGACCATTTTATTTCCATTTGAGACCTCTTCATTGACAGACAAGAGATTTCTTGAGTATTACTGTAGTCTCATCACCTATTTGGGTGTATACATGTTTACTGTCTCTTCCAGAAACTATCATATTGATAAGGGACGTTATTTTAAAACAAGGATGTATGTTCTTGCCTTTGCATTTGCCTCATGGAATATGATACCTTGCTTTTTTTGCTTTAAGTAAAGGAAAAATCTTTTTGTACAGAGCAAATTTCTATATAAAACATTTAATACAAAATTATTTCACAAGAGACAGCGTAAAACAAATATATTAGCTTTGGGTTAATTCGTATTAGGGCCATTCATTTTTTTTTGTTTTGAATTTTCAAGTTAGCATGTTGAATTTTCAAGTTGGTAACTTGAATTTTTAAGTTAGTAACTTGAATTTTTAAGTTAGTAACTTGAATTTTTAAGTTAGTAACTTGAATTTTCAAGTTAGTAACTTAAATTTTCAAGTTAGTAACTTGAATTTTCAAGTTAGTAACTTGAATTTTCAAGTTAGTATGTGTTAGTATCTTAAATTTTCAAGTTAGTATGTTGAATTTTCAAGTTAGTATCTTGAAAATTCAACATACTAAAATTAGAATTCATCATACTAAAATGAAAATTCAACATACTAACTTGAAAATTCAAGTTACTAAATTCAACATACTAACTTGAAAATTCAACATACTAACTTGAAAATTTTCAAGTTAGTAATATGTTGAATTTTCAAGCTTGTATGTTGAATTTCAAGTTAGTATGTTCAAGTTAGTATGTTGAATTTTCAAGTTACTATGTCGAATTTTCAAGTTAGTAACTTGAATTTTCAAGTTAGTAACTTGAATTTTCAAGCTAGTATGTTGAATTTTCAAGTTAGTATGTTGAATTTCCAAGTTAGTATGTTGAATTTAGTAACTTGACATTTCATTCTGCTATAATTTTGTACAACATCAACTTTTTTTTTTATTGGATATCAACTTTTTTTTATTGGACGGTTCATGTAAATTTCAGGTAGGCCTACGATAAAGTTGTTTATTGTATATACATGTATTCTGAAAAGTTACAATAACTAAAACACCTACCCTAAACACACTGCAATTAAAAATATATACACAGGAAGTTTAATGTATCGTAACAACCTAGAACGTTCTCACTTAACTTTCAATTTGTTTTTCATGTACTTAAAGTATTGGTGCATTTACATTACAGTTAAAAATGAGAATGTTATACATTGTCACTTATGCACAAGGCATCTCACGAGCTTGATTTCTTATTATATAGGCATAATAAATTTCATAAATTATATTCACAAAAATGATAACACTACACACATAAGTAGAATAGAATGAAATAGAATATGTTAAACAAACAAATTTTATGGGACACAAATGATGGCCTAATACGAAAGAATGATCTTGCTTAATGTCTGTAATGATAATCAATTTCGACTTATTTTTTGTGTTAATTTTGATGCTTTTCGAGATCGCATATCTTTGACAGACTATAGGATAGTTTATTGAATACTATGTACATAATATCACGTATATACCTCTCAAAGCTGCTTTACCCTGTACAGTAAGCATATACTTGTGAATAGCATATTCAGGATTATTATTCCTACGTGTAGATATTTCATGTGATGAAAAATTCGTATTTGGGTATACATTCTAATCATTAAATAAATGCTGAATGGTGTACTGAACCAAAAAAATAAAAGTAATTCAAATGAGGCCTGTTGAGAAGTACCAAGCATGATTAAATAAAATATGCCTACAAAATATTTAAATCAGATAATAAATTCATGTATAAAATGTTTCAGAATCACAGTTGTAAAATGAGAGTTTTAAGAGTTTTTAGGCACAGGCAGCGGTCGAGGAGTTCCGTTCACTTCCTTCTCCGAGTTTGGTTTCATTTCTGTCTCATTTGTTTCTTTGCTTTGATCTGGTAATGTAAAATAAGGATAAACTTAGTGTAACTGTCTGGCTATGTTATTTTTGTACTTTAAAACAGTCCTTCTAATTGTTAAGTTATTGTTGAATAATTTAATGTTACTGTCCACTAACATACATCCGAGACTCACCTCTTTGTTTTATTCTTATTACAAACAAAACGATACAAACTATAGCTGCTATGAATCCGAGGACAATAAAAGCTATAGCTGCATCATGTCCAGCTTTATCCAAACACAGAGTTAGGTCAGGACAAGCTGCAAAAAAAAAAAATAAAATAAAAATAAATTAAATAAATTAAAATAATAATAAATAATTTAAAATAAACAATATATATTCCCTAATTAAAAGGTACCAAAGATACATGGGGTCCGTTGTCATCTGCTTTCCTTGATGTAAATGCCAATATACATTCTGTATTATTATGTATGTTAGGTCCAGAAAAAAAAATAAAATAAAAATAACAACAGTAAGGATGCTTGATGATATACTCTACATGTAAAATAATAACTTTATTACATGATATTAACAGATGCATATCTACCTATAACACTTTCCACATACAATATCTGTATTATAGCAAGGACAAGGCACACAAGTCCGATGAGAATTAATATCACATTTATCACCCAATACACTGAAATATATTATTTTGATAATGATTATGAAGTTGTTGTGATTTCAAGCCTATCTTTTCGCTTTCTGAAAGATACAGAATGGAGTTTATAGAAGTCTTTCATGAATTCACCAAACTCACCGTGAGCTCATAAATTCCGCTCGGTTCTTCAGCATAAAATTGCCCGTATAGTTTCCTATTCAAAACTTCAGCCGCTTTGGTCCTGTCTTATAACATCCATTAAAGCCATGAACACTTACCGTTACCCCCCTTTTTAGCCTCCTTTCGACTAAAATGTACAATAACCAAGATAACAGATAGCACCACAAGCACTGCTTTTATAATTAGTACTACTAGGTTATAGCAGAAACTACATATGACTACAGTCGGACCTGAAAAAAAAACAAACAGATAGGCATTGTTTTTTTTTATAGATAAATTACTAGATTTCCAGATATGAACATGGAAATCGAAAGCGGTAGAAATCTTTCGGTTTCCAATGACGTCAACTGGAAATTAACAATGGCGTAAATATAAGTAATGCAAATATAGTTGGTTATAGTGGAGTCAATACAATCTAGACAGAAAAATAATATATATTTATTATTAAGTTTCAGTCATTGATTAAATAATGTTGATTATTCTCCCAATAAGAACTTGTTTGGAAATCTGTGATCCGTAGTCATTTGGAACATTGCGAGTTGTACTATACATAAAAAAACCAAAAAAAAAAAAAAAACCAAAACAACAACAACAATTCTAAAGTGAATAGACCTCTATGTATTTGCTTTACCAGCAGATAGAATTTCAACTTTCCATATTTTGGAAGCCTGTCGGTTCTCCTTTAAGTAAACAAAGCTTATCGTGGAAGTCATTATTATACCAGGCAATCAGTAACAATTTCCGTTGCATGTCTTACGGATGATATAAATAATAACTGAAAGTGACAGTTTAACCCTAAATAATAATAATAATAAAATCTTGAATAACAGGAATCAGTAGAACATATACAATTGAGGTTTGTTATACAAGCTAGGTGTTTATAAAAGGAGAATATAAATGAAGATATATGTGCATATCAATTCCTCAACCAGCTTGAAAGATGTTGAGCAGGGTTTGGAACAGGATAAGGTGTACATTTGAAAGGGTTAGCAGGGCTAAACGAACAGTCATACACTCTTAAACTGATACTCTCTCAATACTATCAATTGACGGCGAAAAGTGTCAATTAAAGAAAGTATCCCAGTATAAGACTTTAAAACATTGAAGAAGCAACACCAATATAAAAGTTTGCTTCATGTGTACCAACATCATACAACAATGTAAAGAGAAAATGAGTGTGTACTTCGAGAACATGACGTATCCATGTTGAATATTATTTATATTTAAAGTGTTGAGTGTTAAAGATAATTGATTTAATTGTTAACGCTATTGTTTTAATTCAAGCATGTTTAAATTGTAATGGTTACTTCTTACATATTTACCGGATATGTAAATCGCTAGTCTGCGATCTCACACATCTTTCTGTTTTTATATCATAATCATGTATGTACATGAAAGATGGGTTCCCTTATTTTCATTTTTTGAAAATGAAAATGCTAATACTTATATGAATAGAAAGTAGAGGTGTTCTAATGACTTGGAAAAATACCAGTTTGTCTCACATGTCCGTAATTAATTCATAATTAGCTAAATTAGAAGAGAATTACCAGCAGAATTCCAATGAGTGACCTATCAAAAAAGATCAAAAAGTCTTTTTTTGTTTATCCAGACTGTATTTACATTTCTAATTGGTTAAAACTCTTAATTATATGCAATAAGAATATAATGATATGATTAAGAATAATGATAATTCATTAAAACACCAATTTGACACTCAAAAATAAGGAAACCCAACTTCAAAAGGTCTTATGTATAATTTCCTACCCCATTATCTATGAGTAAGAATGATCAGGAAATTAAGAAAGCTTCAAAGACCTGATTGACTAACGATACAGTGCAGGTCAAAACAGGACAGGTGCAATTCAAAGTCATTGTCTTAAAGACATGTTGACTATGATTATAGATAACCTTATACCAAAGTCATTCTGCGAAACAAATACCCCAGTTCAGTAGCAGCCATGTTTCAAATAGGGTTGTTGTCGAGGGGCAGTTAGAGGAATGTTGAAAAAAAGAAAAAATGATTTATTTTATTGAATCTTATAAATCTTAAAAAGTGTTAACCTAAGAAAAACAATATATACATATTTATCTATTTAACTATTGGAAGATTTATTTTTACTATCTGAGATCATGCCTTGATACTACGGTGATAAAAAAATCTCTGTTACAATATTCTATTTATAAAAATATATTGTACAAATCTACATCAAATTGTTGATTTAAGCAATATCCACGAATGTCGTCAAATAGATCAAAACATCAAATAAACTTTTATTGTAGTTTGAAGTCAAGGTCACTATTTGCAAATGCCATTTCAACTCACATGCATGATTCTTTTCCTATCTAGGATATTAAATCAAAATGTTCTATCAAGTTTAACAAATATTATGGAAATAAATTAATTAGTAAAAAGTCTTTGCGGTTTTCTTTCCATATCCGTTCCTCTTTCACTTTCACCAATTAATACGAAAGCAACATTGTTGAAACAATAGTGATGCTTTGCCAGCCAGGGTATTCACTTAAAATGTTTTGCTAATTTATAAATCTCTACAGTAGTCAATTTGAACAAATATTATGGAAGTACATGAGTTAGTAATAATTGGTAAGTGGTCGTTGATTTACACGTGGTTTTCTATCCATATCCCTTCTTAGTTCACTTTCACCATAATACACGAAAGCCGCATTATTGTATCCTTGTCCATAATAATATTCTTTAGGATGGGCGAATTGGGTAGCAGAAGCAGGTTGATATGTACGAGTTCGGTGATCTGGACGACGAATGTGATAATTTGAACCAGGGTGCATTTGATTTGGACGATTGGTTCTATTCATTTCGTACTGTTGAGATCTAGACTCACTTTTCGTCGCATTTTGATTGTGTTTCCGGCCACTAGGTTTCTTATTACGCTTGAAACACAGACAGAATGGGCAACAACAGCATTCACACACTTTTTCTCTTCCCTCGGACTCCTCATCGTGCTTGTTATTATTACGCCTGCAACATACACAGATTAGACAACAACATTTACATTCTGTTCCGTCGCGATTTTCCTCATTACGTTTGTAACACGGACAAAAAGAGCAACAACAACAACAAATTATAATCACAACTACAACTATCAAACTTCCTACACATACAGAGATGATGATAATGATACATATTATATCACATTCACAAATAAGATTATCACACACAGGAGTTGGGGTTGTAGATGTGGAAGATTCCGAAGTTACGTTTATTAAAGAATTTGATGGTGAAGAAGTGGTTTGTAAAGGAGTCGATGGTGAGGGAGTTGACGGTGATGGTGAACCTATAAAAATAGAAAGAAATGAAAATGTGTCAAAATGCAATATTATGAGTCTCGAAGAATATGAGGCGACATGTGGGAATTAAATTATTTGACAAAATTATTTGAAATAAGCAGATTATATGGAAATAAATGATTTTGTGCAGTCAAGATTATTTGGAAACTATCAGTTTTGACCATTTTCATTGTGTGCAAACCAGTCATTATTGTTTCAAACAATGAATCGCTACTATTTTATTGTATTCATCTAATCAAACATTATAACTTCATGGTTAATGATTATTTATCAAACAATCAAAATAAGAAAAATCATGGTTTCTAAACCAGGAAATCGTCTAAATTGCTTATTTGAAAACAAATATACTACTTAAAGTCATTGGATGAAAATAATGAAATTTTCCAAACCATAAAAAATGTTGGAATGCATGGGATGGAAACAATCAAACACAAAATCATTGTTTCCAAACCAGTACTTCAAAAATTTGATTATTTCAAACCATGAAAATCCGCACGTCATTCTTTGCATACCATTAAACTGTTACATATCTAATTTTGATTATTTCCATCTAAGCAAACTAACCGTCATGGTATGCGCACATGGTTTGTAGGCAGTATAGCCTACACCGTTTTTAGTTTATTGTCATTGCTATAAGCGACTCTGATTACCGATTTAATATTAGGCCTATTGAATATATGGGACCCCTTTTGACGATCAAATTCGTGCAGAGCCAGATTAAAGGGGGGCAAGTAGACTGGGTCGAGGGCCTCCCGCCAAAATATACTATCACTATGTATCCACAAACGTCAACTGTTATGGCAGAGGCCCAGGTGCTTGCTCCATAGTCTGAGGGCCCAATTATCTATTATATCTAGGTCCAGGGGTGGAACTCTATGGTCCCGGTTAGAAAATATTTGGGCACGACGGACCATATGCTTGGGGGCCCTCGATTCATAGTAGCTACGCAGAATAGTATATCTGGGGTCTACATTGAAAATTTAGGATTCGTTTTAAATCTCCGAATCTGAACCGTCCCTGATTGATGATCTGAAAGCAGAAACTCCATTTTGCCCAAGTGATGCCCAAATTTCTTTTCATTTATTGCCCATTTTATATCGGTTCCCCTGCTCATAAATTCCCACGTCTGTACCAATGACCTGAACGTTGAACGTTGATTCTTTGCGATTTTCAGGTTGGGGTAGGGGGAGATTTAGCTTCCCACGCATAATTCATAGACCTGAAAAGCTTCTTTGCGATTGATGGGTGGGACTGGACCCTCTAGAAGGGAACTTGGCTCCAAAAGCTAGTTACGCCACTGCTTGCGAAGAGTGGTGAATGGCGTCCAAGGTCCCGGGCAGGGGCAGAGCCAGCCCTTTAAGGGTGAGGGAGTAGGGGGTTCGCAAGGGTTCTCTCCCACTACACCTGGGTGTTGGGGGTCTCTCACAAGAAAAGTTTTGAACTTTAGGAAGGATTTGGCAATAATGTTCTCAATCAAAACTTGTGATTTTTCAACACTTTACACCACTATTCCACACTCGAGTTAAAATCTCGATTAAAAGATTTATATACAATGCATTTATTAACAAAAAGGGCAAACGTCGTTATAAATACATAGTGATTAAAAATGGCAGGGCATATTTTACTAATGACACAAATGCAAAACAAAAATACTCTAAAGCAGACATTATAGCCATGCTCAATTTTATGATTGACAACATATTTGTTGAATTTGGTGGTCGTGTATATCAACAGACTGTTGGCATTCCTATGGGCACTAACTGTGCACCATTATTGGCAGATTTGTTTTTATATTAATATGAGGCAGAGTTTATTCAACTACTGCAAAAGGGTGGAGTTAAGAAAAAGGCAGTGTCCTTTAATTTTAATTTCCGTTATATAGATGATGTCTTGTCTCTGAATAATTCAAAATTTGGATTTCATATATCCTCCGGAACTTGAGATTAAGGATACTGCAGATGCTTCAAATTTTGATCTTCGTCTTGAAATCGACGATAAAAATCAGTTGTTTACACAGCTTTTTGACAAACGTGATGACTTCAATTGAATTTCCCTTTCATAAGTAACAACATCCCAGCATCTCAAGCCTATGGTGTTTATGTGTCTCAGCTTATACGCTATGCAAGAGCAAATTCGAAATACCAAGATTTTCGGCATAGAAGTTCACAACTAACATCTAGGTTGCAAGCTACATTTAAGAACTTCTATGGTCATCACCATGAACTATTTGCCGTATCCCAGATTTAGACATATCACCAATAGCACCAATAGAGCTATCATGACCACATGTGGGGCAGGGAATGCTCACTCTTCCGGAACACCTGATTTCACCTCCTTTTGAGGGTCCATGATGCTCTGCTTTTACTAATTTTGTCAGTCCACGGACGATGGTTTATGATTACTGGATTTGTTATTGATTACTCGTCGGGGTGAACTGCTTGAAGCTTGCTTCCACATATTTTTCTGCACGATTCACAAAAGTCATACTTTTACACCCCCCCCCCCCTCCCCCCCTCCCCCCTATGGCTCTGCCCCTAGGCCCGGGGCAATTTCCGTGCAGTTTGGTTAACCCCGAAGGCTCGAACGACAACTATAGCCGGGACGGACTGGTTGCTTTTATTGTTTCGCCGCAGCGATCGGCTTGTTGTCGGTAGGTTTTAACTTTATTTCAAAGTTAAAAATTTTGAAATTTAGGAAGGATTCGGTGCAATTTCACGCTCCCTGGAACCACCTCCCATCAATCAATTTTTGCCGATTACCAAACAGACATTATTATTGTCTATATATGACGATAGGCCGCCTGGACCGATTAAATCGGTAATCAGGGTCGCGTATAGCAATGACAATAAACTAAAAACGGTGTAGGCTACTGACACTGATATATAGATCAGTGTGTACTGCGCAAACCATGTGCGCATACCATGACGGTTAGTTTGCTTAGGTGGAAATAAGCAAAATTAGATAATCTAATTGCGCCAAGTGGGAATTTAATGTATGCAGTTTTCATGGTATGAAAAATCATGCTTTTATGCTTTGCTGGGATGCAAATAATCAAAATTAGATATGTATCAGTTTCATGGTATGCAAAGAATGACGTGCGGATTTTCATGGTTTGAAATAATCAAATTTTTGAGGTACTGGTTTGAAAACAATGATTTTGTGTTTGATTGTTTCCATCCCATGCATTCCAACATTTTTTATGGTTTGGAAAATTTCATTATTTTCATCCAATGACTTTAAGTAGTATATTTGTTTTCAAATAAGCAATTTGGACGATTTCCTGGTTTAGAAACCATGATTTTTCTTATTTTGATTGCTTGATAAATAATCATTAACCATGAAGTTATAATGTTTGATTAGATGAATACAATAAAATAGTAGCGATTCATTGTTTGAAACAATAATGACTGGTTTGCATACAATGAAAATGGTCAAAACTGATGGTTTCCAAATAATCTTGACTGCACAAAATCATTTATTTCCATATAATCTGCTTATTTCAAATAATTTTGTCAAATAATTTAATTCCCACATGGCGCCTCATAGAAGAAAACAATCAGCTTAAGAGATCCAGAATTGTGCGCCATTTTGGGGTGACTATTGATTATATGTAAATAGTCTTCAGAAGTACTAGAAATGTACGACAATCGCATAATTTATTCAAAAATATCCCAAAAGGAGGTTCTTTTCCTATTTCTATGGATGTCTTTTCTATATATGGCAGTGTCTCATAAAAAGACAACTCGTCTTTTTAACTTTCAAACGCGGATAATTCTGGACACATTCGGAACTGAAGGCTCAAATTTCGACCGTGAACTGTGAACACTATTACTTATAAGCATGAGCCCAATTCAAGATAATAATCGACTTTCAAAGCCAAACTCAGAGATAACTTAAATAATATGACTAAAATAACTAATATTTACGCGAAACTAATGAAATATTGAGGTGCTCGGTGAAGGATTATCGATTCAGTAGAAAGTAGAAGAAACGAATACCATATAAATGTACTAAACTTCGTCCAGGATCTCAAAGGTAATTAATGGCCAGAAAAAAAATTAATACGATAAAGGCAATATTCAGTATCTGGTGAAAGGACCAATACAAAAGAACATCCCAAAATATTTCTACCATTAATAAAATATCCTTAAATATGGTAACTGGTTGTTTTTGAAAAGTATAGCCCATATACAAAAAAGCGGTGAGGATAATAACAATCATTAAGATGAATAAGCATCACATCAAACTTTCCAACACCATGAGCATACCCGATTGTTTGACAGTTGTAGATTTATCGGTAAATGGTTTACTTGGTTCTGTTTGAAATTATGAATAAAATGAGAATCGTGAAATATATATATATATATACATAAAATCCACAAAAAAAAAACCAAACAAACAAACCACACACAAACATATGTATGTAACAGTTTGGGGTTTTATCTCTTTATCTCGCAATAATTAAAGTTCACTTGGAAAAACTGTACACAATTATTGAAAGACCATAGTTTAAAATATTTAAATGAAATAATTGTGAACATTTGCCTCTGAATATCTAAATCAACCTGTTTGATGTGTTATGTGGTGCGCTGAAGATGTACAGACAGTGGCGGAGCCAGGTTAACGTCCGAGGGGGCACAGAAGTGCCAGTCTTCAATGGGAAACAGTTAAATGACATGTGCTTCACTAAGGGATGGAGCTTGATGCCCTCAGCTATCGGATGGCAGTCGTCACTTTCCGTGGCGTACTTTTATGTTAAAAAGTTTGTAAATACACTTCTTAGAATTTGGGTGTATTCCCAAAAGTCATTTGAATATGGTTAATCCAAAAATTCAACTGAACAAAAGTATAAAAAAAATACAGACTATTTTAATATATTTTTAAAAAGATGAAAACATAAAAGCGCCAAAGGGTGAAAGAACAAAAACGTACCAACAGTAGTGTCCATTGTTGTATCAGGAGCAACGGATGACGTGCCTTAATTAAAAGAAGATCAGAGCATTATCCGAATTGCAAAAATAGTAAATACCAAGTTCAACGTAGACGTTGAGTTGACAAATGAAATTAAATTTTACGACCTACTTTTTTAAAAAAATTATTTACAATATCCAATACATTTAACAAACTTAGTAATATAAACATTTAGGCAAAAAGATAATATACTAGTTACTTCCATTTTTCATGATTTGTTCGAAACTTTTCTATTTCTATGGATTCAATAAATGAGTTCAAAAATGACATTAAATGACTGTAGTGAAAGGACTTTTGGTTGCAACTACATTTGAAGATATAATCAAAATAATTATGTGATTTACAAATTGATACGCTGTACTATTGTAAACTTCCCAAGGTTCTATTACTAAATGAATAGAATTTCTTTCAAAAACTTCATTTACCTTATTCCATAAATTTTGTATTTGTGTGCATTGAATAAATAAGTGATCGATAGTTTCAATTGCTGAATTACAGAAATAACACAGGGAGGAACTTTTTTGAATTTGTATAACTTTTCAGTTCTATTATTATCCTAAGAATATATTTAAATTGAAAATTTTTGGTCTCTTCGTCTTGACAGGTAGAATAAATTCTTTCAAATATTTCTCTTGTAGCTTTTTGGTCTAGTAAAATGTTTAGATCCGTTTCCCATTTATTTATTGCTGTTGGTCTGACAAATTTGGATACAATTCTTTTCTGATATATGTCTCGTGATTTAGATTTTTGAAACTCACAGGGATACATTTTACACAATACATTATTCAATACAGAGTAAAGTATATTTTCTTCATAATGATTCTGTTGTATTCTATCTGTTAGGTAGAATTTTTTTGTATTCTTTAAAAATTAATTTTTCTGAACTATTAAGTAATTTATTTGACTTATTGCTCTGAAAGTCAGAAATAAAATGATATTTTTCTTTTTCATATTTAAAACCATATTTTTGTATCTGATATTGATGTTTTTATTTAAATATGCTATTTGAGTTTGGATTGGAGATAAATTATCAATATATTGATTATATATTTGATAAAAAGTTGGTTATAAAATTGTGATTTTACATAAAACACTTTTGGATTCGTAATTGCATATACAGAGTAATTGTGGATTATGGGACATAATAGAAAATTCTAAAACTTCCTTCCAACTATAACCCTCCAATAACTTCTAATAGATGCGGTTTTAAAATCTTTCATCAGACATGTTATGTCATCAGAAAATGCAACCATTTTGACAGTTTTCGTACCAAATTCAATTCCTTTATATTCACGATCATTTCTAATAAATAGGCACAGAGTGTCAATTACAAAATTGAATAGCACTGGTGATATGGGATCACCTTGATGCACTCCTCTTTGAATTGGAAAATATTTGGCTGTGAAACCATCGTTCATTACAGCACATTCTAATTTATTGTACAATGTTTCAATCCACCTTAAAAATTTTTTTTTGAATCCGAAATATTTCAGAGATTTAATCATGTAAAGGGGACAGATTGAATCCTAGGCTTTAGAAAAATCAATTGCAAGTAGAACTCCTGTAATTCTTTTTTGCTGCGAAAGTGTAAAGCAATCGTCAATTATTCTGATATTTTCATTTATGTGTCGTCCAGGGACAAAGACAGATTGTTTGAGGTGTATTACTTTACTCAATTTTTTTTTTTAACTCAAATTAGAGTGTTTTACTTGTAATTTTTACGTCTACATTTATAAGTGAGATGGGCTGCAAATTTGTTAATTCAAGTTTATTTTTTCCGGTTTTGGTAAAAGTTTGATAATGGTTTGTTGAGTTTGCGAAGGGCACTTATTCTCAAATGATTCATTAAATGAATTAATGACATATTTTCCAATGTATGGCCAAATAACAGCAATAAATTTCTTTTGTCAGACCATCATTGCCTGGTGTTGAGTTTAATTTGAGAGTTTCCAAAGCTTCCCTACTTCTTCGTCGTCAATTTTATATTCTAAGCATTCAGACTCTTCTAACGTGAGATGATAATATTTTGTAGTTAAGAAGTCCATTTCACTTTCATTCTTTTCGTTACTTTTTATAGAATTTCTCAATTTCTATCAAGATTTCTCTATTTGAATCCTTAACAGTTTATATATGTTGGTTGAATATGTTTGTATGTTTCTAAATTCAGGAAGAATTTGGTGCTTTTGTCTCCTCGATAATAATAATCAGATTTGGCACCTTTTGCCTCATTAGTACGGATATTGTCTAATCGTGTTTTAACGACCTTCTATTCATATAGTTTTTCATTTTCGACATTTAAACTTTGAGATATTGCATATCCTAATTTCTCGTATTTATTAATAAAGCTATTCCTTATACACTATTGTAATTTGCCTTATTTTATACTTTATAAAATTGCCCTACATTCTGCAAGTGTTGGGCTAATGAGAACAGGAAACACCATGCAACATGGGAAATTTTGACTGAACAGCAGCATTAAGCGACTATTTTTTTCGATTTCCAATTGTCGAGGGATATTTAACGTACATAGACCATAACCTGTCATGTCAGCCCCACTGACCTGCATCACTGACTGGGGAAAACCAGCTTGGAAAATCCGAAGGTATAATCTCTACCAATGTCGGGATTGGACCCTGTACCTGCGGGTAAGCAGACAATTCAATGCCGTTTAACGCCCTTCTTATCATCACGTGACAAGTATAAAGTGAAATTATTCATTTTGAATGAAGTTGGAAGTCATGAAGAGTTCGCAAACAAATTCCAATTTGAGTGTACATAGCTTCCCAGACATATTCGTCAATACCGGATGTCGAATGTTGGAATGTAAATAAGAATCTAGAGGATGTTTTTGATATTTAGATACATTTCTACGATTCGGGTACCTCAATTCATGGCCAAGAGCATGACTCGGATTTTTATTTTTTTTTTGTAAACATTCATTTGGGACATTTTATGCTATTTACGTAATAGCAAATCTCATATATTACAAGTCTCATTCTTGTATCTTGGCTGATTTGTTTGGTTAGGGCTAAATTGATCTATATATTAGAGGCGGGTGTCGTGCGCGAAGCAGAAAATGCTTACTCTTTTCGAAACACCTGGTGGTACTTTTTTAATTAACGGAATTGTCTTGCTTATACTGATTTTTATTGACCAAACATTTTGTATAAATGTTCAGGGATTCATCTTGGAGTTCTGTATAAAAGAGTTTGACAATCACAGAGGCATTTTCAGCTGTAAAATCGTAGGTGACAAAAGAGGTATAATTTTATTGTCTTGCTGGATATTAAGACCGTTCGGTACAACTATTTACACTTGATCTATCCAGAAACGCTCCCATAGCAATCGCTTGGTTTTTAAGAACAAGCAGATTGGCTTACCTTGTGCAATATATTTAAGTGTGACTGGTACACTAGAAACTGTTTTATAATCACCAAATTTGACGTCGACTGAAATGTCAATATCACCATTTGCCTTGGTAATTTCAGGATCCAAATCATTCAGATTAACACTCAGTGAAGACAATCGTTTCAATAGAGGAGACGTACATCCAGTATTGTCGGTTGATATTTGGCTATTTTCTATAGTATGAGGACTTTTGGATTTCTAAAATGACAACAATTTTACAAAATTAACTGTTAACATGATCATTCTGTACACAGATGATTCTGCATTTGGGATCATATATATAGCAACATATATATAACATAGAAACATCGATTCAAGAGGATTTATTTTAAGGCTACTATCATTATTGAGACAGATCAATAATCATATCACTCACCGAATAGTTAATGTTCCAAATAAATGTTGGTTGTGGTTTGCTACAAGGGACACTAACTGATACATCAACAGTATCTCCAGTTGTGTTATCTGGTATATTAGTTGTTAAATCATCTCTGGTTAAATCATCTGGCTCTGTAAAGAAACAATATGTGCTCAAAAGGTACAATTTACAGCCTAAGTCAACACCGTAAGGAGAATAGCCCCTTTAGCATTATTGACATTGGAATAAATAGTTCATTACTTTCTTTATCTGTTCAGTATAGGTATAAATTTTACGAAGAGTTAAGATTCTGTAACAGGTCATAAAGTCAAAGGATGTTACTTTCACACCTTTGTAGTTTTGTTTACAACTATTGTGGTGTTAAATGGACATTCCGCTTTTTTGTGGGTCAATTTTTTTTTTTGCTCAAATTTGTGAAATCTATACACCAAAATCTATCGAAATGTGTCCCTTAATGTATCTGACAGTTTTAATTAAAAAAATCCAGCCGTTAATTTTTAACGCCAAAAATATTTAGAAACATTACGTCACTTTACGTAATCTTTAAAAGTTTGTTATGCCTTTTGGAATCTGTTAGAAAATTACTATACGGATGCCTATTTGTAGAGAAATATGTCTCCTATGTATTTTAAAGGTTTCAACTAATAATATCGAGCCATTATCAAGCCAAACACCAAAGATTGCGTCAAACTGCTAAACTTTTTAAATTAACCCTTTAAAACAAACTCAGTTTTATCAAGAAGATACAATGATATAAATAGCATACTTTAGAAATATTTACATCGTTTTTGATCATGAAAATTTAAAAAAAAAGCGGAATGCCCCTTTAATATTTAGTAAACTAAGCAAAAGAATGAAATTTGGAAAAGTTATGATATATTTTAAACCTTAGGCCTAAAAATATAAATTCCGTATTACATATTGGAAGAAATTGTTTACCATCTATCAAAACAATCCACTAGTATACGGTGATGTCTTTAATGACAATGTGAAAAATCCACTGCTTAAAATGGCCTAGTAAAGATATTTTTACCGTCGAAAAACGTTTTGAAACATTGATAGTCTATTTCCATTCATGTTTATAAATATAAATGCAGAGGTTGTTAACTTGCTCGGAAGCTGACAGATTTGTGTCAAACAGGTCTAGTTTTAGTTGAAAGCTTTAGAATATGAAGGTGATGTATGGATTTCTCAAGAAATAGGCGTTTATTTATTCTGAAAGGCAAAGTCTAGCCTCTTAATGCGTTTTCAGTGAAAATAGCTAATGCCACTTTTGTTAAAATCAAAATGAAAACTGTAGTTTGTATCGTGTTTACTATAAATCGCAACAGACCGACGAACGGACTTAGCGATGGTAATTTGCTTCCGCATTTTCATGTTTCGACTTGTGGAATCAGAAATTTCAACTTTTGGTGTTTAGTTTTCAACTTAAGCACAAACATTTTTCGACTTACGAACAAATCTTAATGACCCTTTTAAAACTAAGTTGAAATAAATAGAATATAACGAACCCATTAAATCTATCGTTGTTGTCATCCCAGTTGATCCATTTGAAAACTTACTCCCGTCATGATTTTCTGGTTTAAGTATTTCAAGGATGAAAATGTAATTTGGCGAATCTTCGAAACAATATTCAGCATATTCTGTAGTTGGTGGATTTTTAATACACGAATTGGAAGCTTGATATGCCGAAGAAAATTGGAAAATATCATCTTTATTCCAAACTAATGTATTTAGTTCGGATTGTCTGGTTATGTTACATTTTGTTCTTTGATAGGCAACTGGGGAACATTCATAACTTGTACTGAATACAACTGAAAGAAAAATATTAGTTGTAGTAAATTGTACACACACATTACAGTGTAAATCAAGTAAATTATACTTCAACAATGATGGCTGAATTTGATGTATTTTGTATAAGATAAAAAACTGATATGTTATTTTAATACCGCATCCGAGAGATATAGGGTTTTAACTGACTTAAAAACCGACTGGGACTCATTTGTTTTTGTTGTTTCTTTTGTTTGAAATTAATGGAAATAAAACACAGGGGTGCAACTTGCACCTACAAGACTTGGTCGGTTCGGTCAGTAGTGACTTTTTGTTAAGATGTTAAAACCCATAAGGTTAGTCATGTTGCAAAACGCATCGCTCTGACCATTAAATGACGTGCTCTCTCGTTTGTCTAAACCAGTTATGTGTATCGAGGACACTGATAGCCAGTGGCGTGGTGGATCCAAATTGGCTGGAGGAGCAGAAATTGTTTTGGCCCCCCTATACAACTGAGCCTTTTGTACAATCCGATATAAAATAAAACATTTAAACACATGTTAGTCAATAATGCAAAACTCGAAAAAGAACTTCTAACTTATACTACTTATGGCATAGAATCAGAGTAACGCTCAGTTCAGTGTTTGAATAAGTGCTTTTGACACATCACACCGGAAAGACGTCCACTGAGCTGCTACGGCAATGTCATAACATCTCCATAATCGAAATAAAAATGAAGTACACCAAGCCAATAGATTGTTTTAGAAACGTGACTGATGTAAAGTTTTTTAATTTTACGGGACTTTTTCTAGCGTTTTCTTTACGTTTGCCGGAGACCAAGCCAGTGTAACGGGGTTATTCTCGAGGACAATGCCCGAATGCGTCAATTAGTGTATCGCAGTGACCAGCAAATGTGCCACCCATAAGTCATCATCAGCAGTCCCTCTATCGGTCTCACACCACGAAGGCTACATAAACCAAGTACTAACAATCCGAACTGCAAAACGAAACCCAAAATCCAAACAATATATTGGCGAAACATTAGAAGCAGCTATTGAACTGTTCACATGTTGAAGTACATCAATCATAAGTGATTAAGTATTTCATAATGAAAAGTGGTATCAGGAGAGTAAGCATACCCTATCTGGTGCCACACCCGTCATAGCTGCTTAGGGAGTATTCTAGATTTGACTCGTTTCGGGGCAAAAAAGGTGCGTTCAAATTCTGCAAATTTATGTAAATTTACTTATTGAAAATTTATGTAGCCTTCACCTGCATGCATGCGAATATTATAGTGACGAAAAACGACGACCTTCAAGAATACTGCTTCTATAAACCTTCTGGAAGTTTACATTCATGATGGTAATAACAACAAGGCAATAACTAGAGCTGTGAACAGCACTGAGCGTGGCCCGTGATACTTTGCCTTATAGCTGTAAGACTTTTTGGAACTTCAAACCCTCTCAAGCCCGTTGACTCGACAACTTTTAGTAGAGAGCCAAGCTAAATGAAATGTTTTGTGAAAGGGTAAATTCAATCTTGTATCAATATAACTTATCGTAGCTAAGTAGCTATAAAATACAGGTATGTGTGAAATGTGAACATTATGTGACGGAATTTCTTTACTGATATAACCATGATCTATAAGTGTCCAACCTTCAGTAGTGTAATGCTGAACAAATTGTTGAAAACCAAATTTTTGAAAACAATTTAGTATAGACAAATGACCCTCCAGGATATTTTGGTTGAAATCCCCCATAATAACATAGTCTGAACCAGATTCTTGTAATTCAACAAATAATCTTTCTAACATTGGGAGAAATGAATCTAATCGATAAACGGGTGGTCTATAGATAACAATTACGTTAATATTTTTATCCAAAATATTCAAAGCAATGTGTTCTATATTTAAAACTCCCAATTTTAAAATGTTGACATTTTTGTTTTGCTTAATATATACTCCTACTCCTCCGTGCCCCTTTTCTTTCAAAAATTTGAAATCTCTAGTGTCACCATAGCTGCTGCTTCGAGGATGGTGGTGAAGACGGAAACCATTTAACTTTAGTTTTGCTGGAGTTATTGAATTATTTAGCCATGTTTCTGTTCAACAAATGATATCACCTTCTAGCATTTTCCTGTGTTTCTGTAAATCCTCTATATGAATAGATAAACCCTGAACATTGTGTAAAATTATATTAGTATCAGTTGATATGGTCTCGTTTTCGGGTTTTAAAAAAGTATCCATTGCTCCTAATGCCGATTCAATTTTTTCATCACAATATATGTTTTATTCCGTAAAAGCTTGTATTGTAAGACCCTGTAATGTTTTAACTCTGCTTAACGCAACATAGGCTTGACCAGCTTGGAATATTTTATGAAGTGATATTACGCCTCTATCGAGACTTAGACCTTGTACTTTGTGAATAGTAACTGCATAGGCGAGACGTAATGGGAACATCGCCCTTATAGTTAACACGAGGGCTTTCATATCTGTCAATACCAATACTACCACGTGGTACATTTGGCGGAAGTGGAACACTGTCTTCATTTATTCCAACTTAAGCATTATCAAATTTTACAAAAATTTTGTCAGTTTGATTATTCTGATCAGTTTGAATGAATGTTACTTGACCAAAACTTCCATTTATCAAGCCAGTAGAAACATTTCAATTAATTACTAACATAACTTTTGACCCTACACCTATTTTTAAGCAAGACACTAATGGTGTATCAGTCACTTTAACACATGTGGTTTTAATCGTCGTTTTAATGGTTCTAACATCTTTTGAATAATCTTCTGATGGACACAGAATTCGGGCATTTTTCATCAATCATTCTAGAATTATAATCATCAACTTGCTGATTAGTAGAAAATATGTGCAGACAATCATCTTCTTTACCAGTTACCCTACTCTGTAACATTTTGACGTCTGAAGCAAGCATTGGTTCACTTTTTTTTCTTTGTCTAATTCTATTCAATGTTTGGGCAAAGGCTAAATCATCTTTTTGTCTCATAATTTCTCAGTAAGTTCAACAAGTTTGAAATTACCGTTCCATAGGTCTATGACACTTTCATGACATAAACTATTACCTTTAACTGGTCTTAGTTGCCACATATCTCCAAAACATATGACACAGATATTTCCAAATAACTCATCGGAACCCTTTATTTGCCCTAATCGCCCATGAATGTAACAAAAAAGCTTATGATCTACCATTGAAATTTCATCTATAATTAATATTTGTAAGTTGCGATATTTACATCTTAATGTATTAATAGTTTCTTGTCCCAATGGTTGATAAGGTGGAAATGAGAACCCCTTTCTTATTGAAAAAATGCTGTGAATAGTTGACGCTCCAATATTAAAACCACTCACCACAGTTGGTGATGTCATCTAAACTTTCCGCAGTTTTCGCAAAAATTCGAGACGCTTCATATTGAATATATTTGATAAGGTGAGATTTACCGGTACTAGCAGAACCAGTAACAAAGATTCTAAATGGATCGCGGTTTATACCATTAACTTTGTCCAGACAATACTGGCGAACGTCATAAAAAACCTGAGACTGTATTTCATTCAGGGATTTAAGTAAGGGAATAGCATCGCTTTTCGAAATAGTGCTTATATTAGTTTCAGTGCGAACTCTGCTACTTTGACCTTTATCATATAAAATGTCGGGAATTTGAGGTGTATTGTCATCGTCATATTGCAAAGGTCGTGAAAATTCACTGCTCTAAATGAGCGTTTGTTTACATATTGTAAGTCGAAATATAGCACAACTCGAAAAAACATGTGAATTATTATAGAGCTAAAAGATTATGTAGTCAGACTAATTTATTTATGACCTATAATAAGCTTAACAGACGACAATAAATGTTGTTTGCTTTCATCCCCTCAGCATAACACCAATAACCAAAAATTGCTGTATAATGTATCTTGCAGATAAAGTTCTATTAATGGTACAGACAAACAGACAAAATTCGAACTGGTTAATGTATCATAAAGTCACTGCTCTAAGTGTATGTTTTATTATCATAAGGGGAAATTTTGCAAAAAATAAGAAAATAAAAATGTGAATTATTACAGAGTTGAAAGATAGTGTAATTAGATTAATTTATTTATGACCTATAATAATCTTAGCAGAAGATAAAATTGCCACTTTCTTTTTATTGCTAAGGATTAGCGCAGTCGGAAGCCAGTTGAATTGGTGCCTGCTAGGCGATTAAGTGCTGTGGGTTAGAATCCCGCTCTGTATTCTGATTCCACGGGCAGTGTTTGCTAGAGAGAGCCCGCTGTTTGCTTTTATTCCTTCAGCCTAACTAACACCAATAACCAAAACTGTTGTGTGTATCTTGCAGAGAGAGTTCTATTAATGGTACAGAAAAAATTCGAACAGGTTAATGTATCAATAATTCACTACTCTATATGAGTGTATGTTAAATTATTGTAAGTGAAAATTGAAAAAAAAAGTTATTTTTTTAAGTGTTAAAAGATTACATAATCAGATTAATCTGTTTATGACCCAAACTACTTAACACCTGCATGTCAAAAGTTCATATGGATAGCTTTCCTATTATATTATATAACCTGTTATAACACCTGTCAATCACTTTAATCCCCACAATCTACAGATTTTTATCACATTTTTTATAAACATTTAACACTTTTATGCCTATTTTCACAAATTCAATTTTGTATTAAACCACCCATGTCACATATCGTTGAAAAGAGAAAATTGAGTAGATTCTGAATATACAAACCATATTGCTAGGAGTTAATTACATTGTAAGTTAGAACCTTCAGTCGAAAAAAAACCCCAATATTTTTAAAACATATTTTAATTGATTATTGTCATATATCATTGAAAAGATAATCAAAAGGGAATTACAAAATTGAAAAAAATGATTTTCTGTGTTTATTAGAAAAGGTCATACAGTCGTCAAAAGTTGTCAAATATGTTAATTTTTGAATGGCTATTAAACCGGAAGTTAATATTTTTCAACCAATATGAGTACACCTGTGGATAGCTGAGGTCAAGAACATCCTACAGTGAAATTTTCAAGGTCATTGAAGGTCAAGGTCACCAGGTGTGGCCTTTTGAATTTTCAAAAAATTCAAACGAATATAAAAAAAAATTCAAATTCGAAATTCAAAATTCTGTTCCAACAAACTGTAGACAAGGTTGCAAGGTTTTAATAGACACCAAAATCATAAAAATTGGATAAGAAATGGAGGACTAATTAATTTTTTGCTAAAATGGGTCAGTCCGAGGCGACGGCTTATGCATCACTTCCGGAGTGCATTCTAATTATGACTGACAGACAATATATATGGTTTTTGCCAACATCTGAAATTTATACCGGAAGTTCTCACGCAAAAACCGGAAGTGATAGAAAAATTTTGATTGTATAAATTTATTTGTATGGACATTCTGTATATGTCCTGTGAATTTCAGATCAATCGGATAATTAGCGGCTGAGTTACAGCTTTTTTGAAAATTTGGATTCAAATTTTTTTGACAAAAATATTTAAAAATTGAATTTTTTCTAGCCTCACCAGATACGTCTTATAACAATGAACATATTAAAGAAAATTTCAGGTAAATCGGTTCATAAATAAGCCCTACAGACTTGATGCAAAATATAAAAAAACATAAACATAACGAAAACAAAGCGTGACAAATCGATAGATTTGCCACGCAAATACTCCTGGATAAACTACGACAAAAACAAAGTTATAAGAGAGGGGCGCTATTGTGCCAATTGCGGACTTTTGCTGACAAATGTTATAAAAGATTTTGGCGCCCCCTTGAAGAATTGAGCGCCCCTTGATTTTCCGTCACTTGTGGGGCATTACGGAATTTGAATTTTCAAGTTTTCAAGCGATTAGCGTCATTTAACATGGCTTTTTTTTATTCTGTCCCTACACCAGCAGACATCTGTCCGAAAAAGCTAGAGAGACTATGTAGATAAAATCTACCCAGGAGAGTTGGAAATTAAAGACACCACTGATTCTAAGACCAAGGCGTTTAACTTGGATTTGCTTCTCAAAATTGTCAACAACCACGATCTTTGTGTCAGCAGACTATATGACAATACTGGTAATAACATAATAAATGTTGCATTCATGTCCAGTAACATACCACAATCACCAGCTTCTGAAGGTAGCTGTCAGTATATGCCACAACCGACAGATCGTTAGTACTCGTGAGCGTGGATAGGTAGGTAGGCATGAAATCAATTTAATCTTTATAGCCCAAATGATCCCTTCAAGGGATGACTCGGCTTCGCATTTTTTACCCATTCTCTTTATCATGACATTATCTACGACTGAAATTGACGTCATCCACCCCGGACAATTTTGAACGAACATTCGGTCCAGAGGTCACTTTGAAGTATCACGATATGTCGAGTATGATTTTTATACGCCCACATGAAATGGGGGGCATATATTGTCGTCACCCATGTTCGTCGGTCCGTCCGTCCGTCGATCGGTCGGTCCGCCCACAATTGCTCGTAAACACTCTGATTTTGACGAAACTCGATATGGTTGTTTGTAATCACCCAAGGTTGAACCCTATTGAAAATCAGAAAAATCGAAAAATATTTAGTATGAGTTATTGCCCTTGTTCTTGAAGCGCTCGTAAACACTCTAGAAGATGCAATTCTTGACGGATTTTGATGAAACTTGGTGCGAGTGTTTGTTATCACCCAAGGATGAATGAATGATCTCATTGATGTTGATGAAGATAAGACTAATAAGTCACAGAAATAGGCTGTGACTGCACCATGTGGGCTAATTAAGACGGGCA